CGACGTTGGATGGCACAAGGTTTGAGTTGCCACATCATCCACTTCATGACACTCAGCTCCTTCTCTTGAGTAATGACACATGTTCCTAGCCGCCGCCCATGTACGATAACTTCTGCCGTTCTCTGCATCCTCTCCTCCAAAGACTTCCGATACTTAGCTACGTCAGACTTCGGCGGTGGACTGTACATGGAGTGGTTCAAGGCGTACTTGCTCGTGCTCATCATCGTCTCCTCAAGAACCTTGGCGATCTCATTCCTGAAAGTAGCGCTGTCCCGATCGCGTCGACGCTGATCAGCTTGCTTCTGCATCTGCTTCCTCCAAGTATTGTTACAACTCTTCTTCGCACACTGCCACGAGGCTGGATCATTGTTCTGGCCACAATCAATGCAAGTCCATTTGCCTGGCTTCGCCATACTGGAGTGATGCGCCGACAAGATCTGCTGCGCCTTCGTGATCCTGAGGAGCGTCCTAGCCTGGGCACGTTGTCGCCGCCGCCGACGGTGCGCTGCGCACTCAGGGCGCTTGGCCGTCTGGCCTGCTCCTGGCGAGCGGCCCGCCGCGCGCGGCCTCGCGCGCGGTCTGGCCCGCCGCGGGCTGCCGCCAGGGGCTGCCGCCGCTGCGAGGGATGTGGGGGGTCCTCCCCCTCGCTGCAGCCCCTATCGCGGCCGCCGCGCTGCCGCCCGCCCACGCGTGGGGCGGCGTCCGCCCCACCCCGAGTGGGCAAACGGCTCTTCGTCCTCCTCCTCCTCCTCCTCCTCCTCCTCCTCCTCCTCCTCCTCCCTCTCCATCTCCATCTCCTCCTCCTCCTCCTCTTCTTCCTCCTCCCTCTTCCTCCTCCCTCCTCCTCCTCCTCCTCCTCTTCCTCTTCCTCCTCCTCCTCCTCCTTCTCCTCGAGGACGGGGGAATGTGGAGTCCCTGTGGGTTTCAGACGATTTTGTACTATCTTTCACGTTGCTCCTCATCATTATTATGATATTTCCTTTCTCGCTTTCTCTTTCTCTCTCTCTCAATCTCTCCCACTCCCATTCCCATTCCATTCCCATTCCCATTCCCTATACCATTACCATTACCATCCCAATTCCCATTCCCATTCCCAATCACATTACCATTACCTTTATCTTTACCATTACCATTACCATGGCCATTACAATTGTCATTGCCATTGCCAATCCCATTGCCATTGCCATTACCAGTGCCGTTGCCATTACCATTGTATTGCCATTGCCAGTCGCCACCCCGTTACCATTACCGTTACCATTACCATTCCCATTACCATTAGCCATTACCATTGCCATTACCATTAGCATTACTAACACCATTACCATTACCATTACCATTACCATTGCCATTACCATTACCATTACCATTACCATTACCATTACCATTACCATTACCATTACCATTACCGCTGCCATCACCATTACAATTCCCATTCCCATCACCATTGCCAATACCAGTACCCTTACCATAACCAATTCCATTACCCTTACCATTGCCATCATCATTACCACTACCACTACCATATCCATTCCCGTTCCCGTTCCAATTACCACTACGATTCCCATTCCCATCCCCATTACCATTACCATGACCATGACCATTACCATTCCCATTGCCGTGGCCATTGCTATTACCATTGCCATTGCCGTTGCCATTCCCATTGCCATTGCCATTGCCATTACCATTACCATTGCCATCGCCGTTGCCATTACCACTGCTAGTCGCTACCCCGTTACCATTGCCATAGCCATTACAATTACCGTTCCCGTCACCATTACCAGTCCGAGTACCATTACCTTTACCACTGTCATTGCCATTACCTTGTTCACTGCCATTGCCATTCGCCACTACCATTACCATTGCCATTCGCCACTACCATTACCATTCCCATTCCCAATACCAATACCATTACCATTACCGTTACAACTGGCATTGCCATTACCATTACCATTACCTTTACCTCTACCTTTACCCCTTACCCTTACCATCCCCATTTCCGTTACCACTACCACTGCCATCGCCATTCCCGTTTCCATTCCCATTCCCATTCACATCCCCATTCCCATTACGATTACCATTGCCATGGCCATGGCCATTACCATTGCCATTGCCATTGCCATTCCCATTCCCATTGCCATTGCCATTACCATTACCATTGCCATTGCCATTGCCATTGCCATTGCCATTGCCAGTCGCTACCCCGTTACCACTATCATTACCGTTACCATTACCAGTGCCATTGCCATTACCTCTGTCATTACCGTTACCATTCGCATTGCCATTGCCATTGCCAGTAGCCATTACCATTACCATTGCCAGTACCAGTTCTGTTGCCATTCCCATGACCATTACCATTACCATTACCATTACCATTATGATTTCCATTACCATTACCTTGACCTCTACCTTGGCCTTTACACTTACCCTTATCATTCCCATTTCCGTTACCACTACCACTACCATTTCCATTCCCGTTCCCGTTCCCATTCCCATTCAAATTTCCATTCCCGTTCCCATTCCCATTACCATTGCCATTACCATTACATTGACCATTGCCGTTGCCATTGGCATGGCCATTATAATTGTCATTGCCATTGCCAATCCCATTGCCATTGCCATCGCCATTACCATTACCGTTGCCATTGTCATTGCCATTGCCAATCGCTACCCCGTTACCGTCACCATTACCGTTACCACTACCATTGCCAGCACCATTACCATTACCTTTTGTCATTACCATTACCAGTACCATTACCGTTGCCATTGCCATTGCCATTCGCCACTACCATTACCATTGCCATTACCATTACCATTACCATTACCATGACCATTACCATTATCATTACCATTACCGCTGCCATTACCACTAGAATTCCCATTCTCATTCCCATTCCCAATACCATTTCCATTTCCATTACCATTTCCATTACCATTACCATTACCAGTGCCATTACCATTACCACTACCACTATCATTTCCATTCCCGTTCCCGTTCCCATTCCCATTACCATTACCATTACCATTACCACTGCCATTGCCATTACCATTACCATTACCTTTACCTCTACCTTTACCTTTACCCTTACCATTACCATTACCATTGCAATGCCCATTACCATTGCCATTGCCATTGTCATTGCCATTCCCATTGTCATTGCCATTGCCATTACCATTACCTTTACCTCTACCTTTACCCCTTACCCTTACCATCCCCATTTCCGTTACCACTACCACTGCCATCGCCATTCCCGTTTCCATTCCCATTCCCATTCACATCCCCATTCCCATTACGATTACCATTGCCATGGCCATGGCCATTACCATTGCCATTGCCATTCCCATTCCCATTCCCATTGCCATTGCCATTACCATTACCATTGCCATTGCCATTGCCATTGCCATTGCCATTGCCAGTCGCTACCCCGTTACCACTATCATTACCGTTACCATTACCAGTGCCATTGCCATTACCTCTGTCATTACCGTTACCATTCGCATTGCCATTGCCATTGCCAGTAGCCACTACCATTACCATTGCCAGTACCAGTTCTGTTGCCATTCCCATTCCCATGACCATTACCATTACCATTACCATTATGATTTCCATTACCATTACCTTGACCTCTACCTTGGCCTTTACACTTACCCTTATCATTCCCATTTCCGTTACCACTACCACTACCATTTCCATTCCCGTTCCCGTTCCCATTCCCATTCAAATTTCCATTCCCGTTCCCATTCCCATTACCATTGCCATTACCATTACATTGACCATTGCCGTTGCCATTGGCATGGCCATTATAATTGTCATTGCCATTGCCAATCCCATTGCCATTGCCATCGCCATTACCATTACCGTTGCCATTGTCATTGCCATTGCCAATCGCTACCCCGTTACCGTCACCATTACCGTTACCACTACCATTGCCAGCACCATTACCATTACCTTTTGTCATTACCATTACCAGTACCATTACCGTTGCCATTGCCATTGCCATTCGCCACTACCATTACCATTGCCATTACCATTACCATTACCATTACCATGACCATTACCATTACCATTACCATTACCGCTGCCATTACCACTAGAATTCCCATTCTCATTCCCATTCCCAATACCATTTCCATTTCCATTACCATTTCCATTACCATTACCATTACCAGTGCCATTACCATTACCACTACCACTATCATTTCCATTCCCGTTCCCGTTCCCATTCCCATTACCATTACCATTACCATTACCACTGCCATTGCCATTACCATTACCATTACCTTTACCTCTACCTTTACCTTTACCCTTACCATTACCATTACCATTGCAATGCCCATTACCATTGCCATTGCCATTGTCATTGCCATTTCCATTGTCATTGCCATTGCCATTACCATTACCGTTGCCGTTGCCATTGCCATTGTCATTGCATCGCTAACCCTTTTACCACTATCATTACCGTAACCATTACCAGTACGATTACCATTACCACTGTCATTACCATTGCCATTGCCATTGCCATTGACATTCGAGGATTTCAGTAGGAATCATTCAGTGGAGGGTTTCAGTAGGAATCCACATGTGGAGGATTTCAGTAGGAATCATTCAGTGGAGGGTTTCGATAGGAACCCTTCTGTCGAGGATTTCACTGTGAATCCTTCTTATGGGGGCGTTTAATAGGAATCCTTCTAGAGGGGAGGGCAGATGTGGCCACGTCGCATTCCTTTTTTTTTCTCCTGGCGTCCCCCCCCCCAGATTTTGTTCTGGGGGGGTGACGCCAGGAGAAAAAAAAATGCAGGGAGGTAGGAGGAGGGGGAGAGGGAGGAGGAGGAGGAGGAGGCGGAGGAGGAGGAGGAGGAGGACGACTCAGAGCAGAGTTTGCACAGAAACAGTCGCGAACTCAGCGCGAAAGCCTCGCGCGCGCGCTTTGGAACCACAGGGACTCCATAATCCCCCGTTCTCTTCTCCTCCTCCCTCTTCCTCCTCCGTCTCCTCCCGGCAGCCCCTCCCTTTCGGCAACAACTACCGGGGCCGCCTGGGGCACGGCGAGGGCCCTGCCTGCCGCGTGCCGCGGCGGGTGGAGGCGCTCGCGGGCGAGTTCGTGACGCAGGCGGCGTGCGGCTCCCAGGGGAGGGGAAGACGCGCCAGGCTCGCGCCGTGCCGCGCCCGGTGGGGGAGCGCCGCGAGAGCGCGGAGCTGCTCGCGCGAGGGCTGCGGCGCGAAGCGCGAGCTCTGCTGCCCCTGGAGAACGAGCAACTTTCCAACTGCACCAGCCGTCCATGCCCCTCGGCCCACCCTGGCCCTTGGCCGTGGGCCATGGGCTTCCATCTCTGGCCTCGACTCGGGCGTCCAAGGGCCCCGCATCACCACCGCGCATCCCCACGATCCGGTTGCACTGCGCGGCAGGCTCGCAGCCGTGCTGGCGCGGCGGCGACCCCAGCGCGGGCGTGCGAGGCTGACCGCCGCCAGGGGCCCCGAGTCGGCGAACAGGGAACGATCTGGCGATGGGGGAGCGGCCGCTTTGATCGAGGTGGAGCGAGCCACGCGGCGCCAGAAGCCCCGCGTCAGGGACGCCAAGTCACGAGCCTGCCGTACCGATGCCGCTGCTCGTCCTGGAGAGCCCGTGGAGAGGCCCCCAGAGATCCGACGCACTGATTCCTTCCATTCGCGCCCCGATCTGTCATCCCGCGTCGTTTTTGACACTCCCGGGGCCCGGCGAAGGCCCCCGGAGGCCGACAGCGGCGAGACGCCTCTGCGTGGACCTTTGCAATGCGCTGGAGCTCTGGGGGATCGGTGCCTCCCGGTCCTCCGCAGGATGGGCCTGTTTTCCACCACCACCACCACCATACGTTGGAGGGGGGAAGGAGGTGGAGGTGGAGGAGGAGGAGGAGGAGGAGGAGGAGGAGGAGGAGGAGGAAAAGGAGGAGGAGGAGGAGGAGGAGAAGGGGGGAGGAGGGAGGAGGAGGAGGAGAGGAGGATGGGGGGAGGAGGAGGGATGAGGAGGGGATAGGAGGAGGAGGAGGAGGAGGAGGAGGATGAGGAGGAGGAGGAGGAGGAGCCCCCTCGCCCTCCAACTTCTGGTGGTGGTGATGGAGAGCAGGCCCATCGCCTCAGGCTCGGACCACTCGGCGGCGCTGCTGCGGGGGGGCCGCGTGCTGCTGTGGGGCGGCAACCGCCGCGGCCAGCTGGGGCGCGGCGCGGCGCCGGGCGGCGGCGCGGCGGAGAACCTGCTGCCGCGGGCCGTGGCCCTGCCCGGCAGCGCCGCGCAGATCGACTGCGAGCACCAGGCCTGTTCGGCATGTCCTCCTACCGGGGGGCTTTCGACGAGAGAGCAATAGCATAACAAAACTACAAACCTAGCCAAACATATTCAAACACACCGTCCCCATATATCATTGTTGCAAATAACTATGTTTGAACATTCCTCCTGTAGAGGGACGCGCCCGACGTAAAGCTAATCGTGGGAGCCTGGTATGTCCTCGACGATGCTAGGGGCACGAACAGTGACATGAAAACTCGGAGGTCCGCGCGGATCTCTCGGATCGGCGCTGAACCACTCTGGCGGCGCCTCTGGCGCAGCCTCTGGCGCGCGCCGCGCGCCAGGGACGGGGATGCAGCGCCGATCCGAGAAAGCCGCGCGGACCTCCGAGTTCCTATGTTTAATGTCATCAGCTCGGCCCCCTAGATAAATCCTTTTTTCAGGATCGCGGGGACTTGTGGATGGTGCGCCGCGCCGCCGGTCCTGGCCCACCGCGCTCCGGCGCGACAGCTGTCCCTCTCCCGGGCCCCCGGCATCGACGCCCCGAGTGGTGCCGCAGCCTCGCGTCCCGCGTGGCGGAGCGACGCGCTAAGTTCTCTCCGTTCGCCAGGCAGGGCGTGTCGCGACACGCTGTGCGCCAGGGGCCAGCAATCGCGTCGCTGTCGCGACACTGCTATTTCTCCGCTCGCCAGGGGCCGCCGTCGCGACACGCTGTGCGCAGATCTGGCGCCGATGTGGCGTCGGCCAGCGCCGATTCGCAAGAGCCGGCGGGACGGCGTGGGAGGCCCCCACGGGTTGCCGCAGAGAGGTCTCCGCCGCGCTGCTGGCCGACGGGCGCCTGCTGGCCTGGGGCTGTAACGAGCACGGGCAGCTTGGCATTGGCTGCAAGTCGACGAAGGGAAACATCCGAACACACAGAGGTCGTCGGAGCTCTGCGTGGGCTTCTTGGATCGGCGCTGGGCTCCCCTGGCGGCACCTCCAGCGCCGCCCACTGGCGCTCCCCGCGCGCCAGGGAGGAGGTTCCAGCGCCGATCCAAGACATCCGCGCTCAGCTCCGACAGTTCTTGTGCCCATGCGGTTTGGTTTTTTCCTCTGGCAGGAGCGACCGCCACGCACCCGAAGAGGTCAAGCTCGAGGTGCCCGTGGCCTCCTTTAGCCTAGGCTCGATGTACGCGGGCGCTGTCGGCGAGGCGGGCGAGCTCTTCATGTGGGGCTACGGCGGCCACGGCAACCTCGGGCTGGGCAGCCGCGCATCCGTGGCGTCGCCCGCACTGGTGACGGGCATGCCGGAGCCCGCGGCGCAGGTGGCCTGCACGCGGGGCCAGGATGGTTGCAAGGGCGGGCTGAACCCGAAGGAGGGCGGCCAGGAGGGGCCGCACACCATCGTCGTGGCCGCGTCGGGCGCCATGTACACGATGGGGACCTGCCACAAGGGCCTGCTGTGCAACCTGGGCTCCAAGGATGGGGCTTTCGGGAAGCCGTGGGACGAGCTGCTCCCTTATCGCGTGGGCGGAAAGCTGCGCAACGACTGCGACTGCCCGCCGATGTCCCCGCTAGCGGTGTGGCCGCCGCCGTACGACAGCATCTGCCCCGTCACCGCAGCCGTGTCCGCGCACATCCACGCGGCGTGCGTCGGACGCGACGGCAGAGCCTGGGCCTGGGGCTGCGGCAGCAACGACGGCCGCTGCGGGGTGGAGCGCTTCCTGAACATGCGAAGAAGGAATAACGGCATAAGCATAAACTTTTGGAGGAGGTCCGTGCGCATTTCTTGCATCGGCGCTGGGACCCTTGGCGGCGCCTCTGGCGCCGCGGAGGGGTTCCCAGCGCCGATCCGGGAAATCTGCGCGGAACTCCTAACATCGGCACCACCCAAACGTACTGACATTACGATTTGGTCGGGCATGTCCCGCTACAGGCGGACTTTGGACGATAAATAAAAGATATTCCAACATATTCAAAATAATGAAACATAGTTATAAACAAAATCGTCCCCATACTATTTCCCTACCTAGGCTCTGCCTAGAAGGGTTCTTACTGAGTATGCTCAAAGGGCTGGGCAGTGGGAACCGCCCCGGGCGGTTCCCCCGGCATCCGCCCCGCGGTTCCCCCAGGATCTCCCGCTTTGCCTAGCTTAGCTTAGCGTAGCTTAGTTTAGCTTAGCTAGGCTTAGCTTAGCTTGGCTTGGCTTGGCTTAGCTAAGCTGAGCTTAGCTTAACTTAGCTAGGTCTAGCTTAGATTAGCTTAGCTTACCTTACCTTAGCTTAGCTAAGTTCAGCATAGCGCAGCGCAGCATTGGCACAGCATAGCATAGCATAGCATACCATAGCCAACCATAAGATAGCATAGCATAGCATATCATAGCACAGCTCCGCATACCATAGCATACCATATCATAGCATAGCATAGCATATATCAGCATAGCAAACCATATCATAGCATAGCATATCAGTGTTTAACATAGCACAGCGCAACATAGCATAGCACAGCACAGCATATCATAGCATAGCATAGCACCTCATGGCATAACATAGCATAACATAGCATAGCATTTCACAGCATAACACAGCGCAGCATAACATATCATATCATAGCCTAACATAGCATAGCATGGCGCAGCATCGCATAGCATAGCATAGCATAGCGCAGCATATCATAGCATATCATAGCATAGCGAAGCATAGCTTGGCTTACCTCAGCTAGCTTAGCGCAGCATAGCGCAGCACAGCATCAGCACAGCATAGCATAGCATAGCCCAGCATAGCATAGCATAGCATAGCATAGCAAAAGCAACACCAATGCGAAAGTGTAGATGCAGATGTGGATGTAGGTGTAGGTGTAGATGTGTCTTTAGGTTTAGATGTAGATGTATATGTAGATGTAGGTGGATATGTAGGTGTGGATGTAGATGTAGATGTGAGTCTCGCTGTTGAAGTTGATGTAGATGTAGATGCAGGTGTAGATGTGAATGTAGCTGTCGGTGTAGATGTAGATGTTGCTTTCCTAGATGCTCCAACTCCTAGGTAGGGTCGCACTGGGATAAGTTTGACTATCTTTGAATTTTCTTCCTGTAGGGGGACATGCCCGACCTCGTACTACGTGCGCCTCGGCCCCGCAAGGGCGACGCGCGCGCGCTCGGGAGTCGTACGGTACAAGCTGCGTGGCGGGCGTTTTCTGGCCATACCGCTCAGGCAACGCTATGCTGTGAGACTTGTGTGCTATAGGTTCGCACAGGACGCACGCCCCCAACGATCAGCACAGGGTACTAGTATGGTGATCGTTTTTTATTCATTGTTCTGCCGATCGGCGCGGGCCCTCGCCCCCCCCCTTCCCCGTACCCTCCCCCGCCCCCCATGGAGTAGATCTTGGCTATTTTTGGGCGCCTGTTTCGAGCAGGTGGAGTCTCCCCCACAATGGACACAGTGGTGCAAACAGTCGCACTAAGCAGAGGTCCAGAGCCAGAACCCCCTCCCCCCTTCCGCCCAACGTCGACACGCCGAATAAGAAAACGCTCACATGTCCCTCTGCGTCCCAGGGAAGGGTATGCTTGTGCCGTCCTTCCTTCCCCCAGACATGAGGGGGGAGGGCAAGCCGCCGGAGGTCGACACCATGAAGTGCTACATGATGGGCCCCCACCCGGTCGGCGTGGCGAGGCCCTTGTATTGGAAGCACCGCAGCCTTCAGGGCTTCCGGGTGCTCGCGCTAGCTACAGGACGCAACCACATTCGGAGAAGAGACAGCGGCATAAACATGATTTCTCGGAGGTCCGCGCGGATTTCTTGCATAGGCGTTGGACCCCCCCCCCCCCGACGGCGCCTCCGGCGCCACCCACTGGCGCTTGGCGCTCTCCGCGCGCCAGAGAGGGGGTCCCAGCGCCGATCCTAGAAGTCCGCGCGGACCTCCGACACCGGATGCGTTTCTGCAGCTCTTCCTTCCTCCGCGCATGGCGGCCATCGCAGTCGAAGCCCCTCCGGAGGAGGCGGGGTCGTCCTGACCGGCAGGCGAACGCGGCTGGCCCCGACCCCGAGCACCGCGGCCCTCGGGGCCTCGAGGTGCTCGCGCTGGCTGTCCTTTCAGCAGGCACGTCTTGGGGGCGGAGCGCGAGGCCCTCCAGCAGCTCCCGGCGACGCCCAGGCCTTCGTTTGCCCAGTGGTGTGCTGCGCGTTCTGGAAAACAGCGCTGGGCCCCAAGGAAACTACGATCGCCGACGTAGGCACGTAGGCCTTGCTGGAACAGTCCTCCTCCTCCTCCTCCTCGTCCTCCTTCTCCTCCTCCTCCTCCTCCTCCTCCTCCTTCTCCTCCTCCTCCTCCTCCTCTCCTCCTGCTATCATTCCTCCTCCTCCTCCTCCTCCTCCTCCTCCTCCTCCTCCTCCTCCTCCTATCCCTCCTCCTCTTATCTCTCCTCCCTCCTCCTTCTTCTGCTCCGCGAGGAGCCGATCGAGGCCTCCCTGCCCGCGGACCCCCCCCCACTTGGGGCACGGCACAAACGCGACAGTCCAATCCGGCGACGGAGAAACATCAGAGGCCTCCGTTGGTTCGGACTCTGGCTCCACCTGTGGCCATGGATCCTCCTCTTCCTGCGTCGGTGTCATTCCCCTCCGCGTCCTCTTTCTCTTTCGCCTTCTCCCTGTCCCTCTGTTGTCTTTCCCTGTTTCCGTTCCCAGCCTCCCCCTGTTCATTGTCCCCAATCCCCCCTTCCCCGTCTTCCGCCCCCACTCCATCTGGCCTCCCATTCCGCGGCCCGTGGTTTCCTCGCCACGTTGTCGTGAGCAGGACAGTGCGCGAGCGCCTTCCAGTCATTAGGGGGAACACGCGCCTGTCCCAACATCAAGTTTCGCTTCAATTGATTCTTATGCTACGGGAGGGGGGGTGGGAATGGGCAGGGCCTGGTGACTTGTTCGACCTGGCTGGTTTGACATTCCCCCCACTCCCCCACCTCCTCATCCATCCCCTTCCCCCGTCGTCCTTCCCCGTGCCCTTCAAATCCCCTCCGCCTACACTCTCTCTTTCCCCCCCTCTCTGCCTCACCCCTTACACCCCCGCTTCATACCCACTTTACCTCCCGGCCTCTGGGTGTGGCCGCTGCCTTTCCGCGGCCACCGCCACGGGCTGGCCGCACCGGCCACTCCTCCTCGACGACCTTCGCGCAGTGAGTGCCCTCCCTCAAGGGAGGAAAAACCACCCGGACCCGACAAGCGGCGTTTACTGAACGGCCATGGGCGTTTACTAAAACAGCCCTGCCCTGTTCGATCCCTTCCCTGGGTGCGTTCACTCGACGGCCTCGCTTGTCGAGGTGATTCTCATGGGGGACATGTTCTGCCCTCTACTCCCTCTCCTCCTCCTCCTCCTCCTCCTCCTCCTCCTCCTCCTCCTCCTCCTCCTCCTCCTCCTCCTCCTCCTCCGCCCCCCCTCCCCCCGCTCGTGCCGCCGGACAACTCGTTCGCCCCCTCCAAGCTCAACCCGAGCGCGCGTCGTGCGCATCGCCCCTGCCGCGACGATCGACGGGCAAAGCGTGTCTTGTCGGTTTCGTTTTCGCTCGCCCGCTCCCGCTTCTTTCCAGGCGGGCACGCCCCTCTGCAGGAGGAATCTTTAAAAATACTGAGAAATAGTCTGGGGACGATTTTCCGACTATTTTTTATAATTTTGGGGCATGTTTTGAGTATTCTCCAGAATCCGCTTGTAGGAGGACGCGCCCGACCTAATTTTTGTCCTCGCGACCCACGAAGCGGTAACCTTCTCCCGGCGTGGAGCGGATACCCCTCCGCCGCTCCCTCCCTTACCCGCCGCTCCATTCATGATCCTTCCCTCCTGACTTCCTTTACCCCGCAAGTTCTCTACCCATCCCTCTCTTTCTCTCCTTCCTCCTCCTTCACCTCCCATCCTCCACACATTTCCCCTGTAGACATATCCTCGTCGTCTGACCACTAGACTTGTCGGTTGAGCGGGCCAGGACTTCGTTTGAGGCTTCTTCGCAAATGCATGACCCTTCTGTTCGAAATCTGCTACACTTCTACGGATGGAGTGCTTGCCGTTTTCAAAATGTAGTTTTCGCTTTTGCAGCAGGTGCTAGCATGAAGGGTGGACCGTCTTCTAAACGGAGTTATCGCCTTAGCCGTTCGGACAGTTGCTTTCAAGAGCTTGCGGCCGCTAAGCGAATGAAAGGCGGACCGCGTTCGATCGCTTCAGCGCCGCGCACATTTGTTTTTAATTGCAGGCATCCGTTGCATGGATGCACGGTGGTTCCTAAAAACAGGTTTTTGCCCTGGCGCTGCCCAAATACCTAACGGTTTGCAGCGGCTGTGGGCGTGGTGGACAGTGCCTTTCCAACATGGGGTTGTCGCCTCAGCGCCGTGCGCATTAGCTTCAATGTTTCGACATTCGCTCATTTGTAGAACGGCTCCTGTATAACATGGGGCTTTCGTTTGGGTCTTGATTTATTTGAAAGCCCAGCAACTTCGAATTCATATATATATATATATATATATGTGCATAACAGTTGTACGGATGGAGGTCGGTTCCGTTTCACAGTGCAGTTAGCGCTTGAGACTTCTTTCGATTGAATTAGCAGAAGTACATTTACACCGATGGGAGGCGGACCGTTCCAAAACAGAACATCGTTGGGCACCTCTTTGAACTGTTTCTATGTAAGGTAGTACGGTCCTGTTGTCTGTGCTCGATCAGACCTAGGGCTTGATGTCGATCAGATGTTAGTGCTTCTCGCTCCCGCGTTGTCCTCGGAGATGCCCCCTGGGACAACACGGTGCGTTGTCAAAGTTATGTAGGTGCGTGCGCGGATTTGAATCAGACCACCCCAATTAGCACGTATAATGTGCAAAATTTCCAGAGAGGCCTCCGCGAACATTTGAATTCAGCACGTTCCGTCGGTCCCTCCTTGCAGTCATGATGGCAGCGGGTTTTCCAGGTTCAGAGCTTTCTGGTCCACCGCGGCCCTATCGACCACCTCTGCCTTCGAGTTCGAGGGATTTTGCGCCAAGCCAAGGGCTAGGAGAGCCCGATCTCCTTGATGGGATCTCGTTGTTGGGGGTTGATCGGGTTCAACATCTTGAGTTCACGGGGAGGCTTGGGCCAAGCTTTGGAGCCACTTCGGCGCTTGGGATGCCATTCTCCCCTGGCATCTATGTGTAATCTCTTTCTGCATGTCGTGGTATCAGCTCTCTCTTGAATGACGGGCCTCTTTGGTGCTGGTCTTTCAACGGGACGCTCCTTGTAGTGAAAACGAAGGCTTGTAAGGACTGGGCCGCCAGCACACTGAATGAGAAGCTGGCACGTTGCGCTGGCGCACCACGGCACGTTCTGATTTCCTGACGTCCCCGGACGTCCGAGGTCGATCGAGCAGTGCGCCACTCGATCGCATGAGGAGGGGACGTGGGTTAAGTCGGGCATTTCCCTCTACAAGAGGAAAATTCAAACATAACCTTGGGACGATGTTTCTATTGTTTGACTATGTTTGAATAGTTTTGGGCTATGCTTGAATTTGTCGCCAGAAATCCGCCTGTAGGGGGCATGCCCGACCTAAGGCTTGGGACGTCAGGGTCTACTGCAGCATGGTTGACGCATCTTTCTGCTCCTCTGGTCCTCGTCCTCGTTCTCCTCCTGGTCCTGTTTCTGTCCACTGCTCACCCTCTGACCTGCTCTCCCCTCCCGTACCAGCCTCCTGACGCCCATCCCTCCCCGTCCATCTCTACCCTGCCTCCCTTTCCTCCCCTCCACCCCTCGGGCGGAGATTTCCTGATAAGCCCTTCGTCATCATCATGTGCATTCAGCGTTCGCACGCTTGCTTAGGTTATTTAATCGCTTCGCTCATTCCGCCGGCCCATACAGTCTCATGTCTGCCGTTTGCCCGAGGGCCTGGTGTCAATGCGGCGCTTTGGGGGTTCCTGGGGCGCTCGGGGGGGCATTTGGGGGGCCTCCTGGGGCCGCTTGGGGGACTCTTGGGGGCCTCCTGAGGGCCTCGTCGGGGCCTCTTGGGGCCTCTTAGGGGCCTCTTGGGGCCTCGGAGGGGCTTCTTGGGGCCGAGGGCTGGAAATGTTGTTTCGTGTTCCCTCTCTTGGGGCGTTCTTGGGGCCCTCTTGGGCCGTCTTGGAGGCTTCTTGGGCCGTCTTCGAGCCCTCTTGGGCCATCTTGGGGCCCTCTTGGGGGCCTCTTGGGCCCTCTTGGGGCGATCTTGGGGGCCTCTTGGGCCGTCTTGGGGCGTCGGGAAGCCGAAAAGGTGGAAGCTCCAAAATCTCTGAAAAACCTAAGGAAAATCAATGAATTTTGCCTCCGGAGGCCCTCTTGGGAGTGCTCTTGGAGGCTTCTTGGGGCGTCTGGGGGCCATCTTGGGCGTCTTGGAGCGATCTTGTGGCATGTCGGACCCCTCGTGTACCATCTTGGGGGCCTCTTGGGGGCCTCTTGGTTTTGTTTGGGTCCTCGGGGACGTTTTCGGAGCCCTGTTGGTGCGCTCATGGGGCGCTCGGGGGGACCCGGCCGGGACCTGGTCGGGGTACTTTTCGTCCGGGGACCCCCAGGGGCCGCCCCGCGCGCGCGAACTAGAGAATTGTTAACCAGTTACCGGAGATCTTAGCACGCCTCTGGCCCGTTGGGCCGGCGAATTTGGGAGCGCTGCTTGCTCTTGGCCTTGAAGTCGTCACGGTGCTGCGTTCACCGCGCGTTTGGCCCTTGCATGCAGTGGTTGTGACTGTTGTTCTGATAGCTAACACATGGCACATGGGAGGATTGCCCATACTGGGATCAAAGGATATCGGCAACCAGCCAACCAATGCAATCAGACACCCAGGCGTGTGCAAGACACAGCTTCCGTGGAACCGAGCATTTCACATGCGTTCCCGTTTGGGGTCAAGGATGAAGTTCTGCTCCCGCATGATCGGAACACTGGCTCGGTGGTTGCCAGGGCGTCACTTGGCGGCTGCAGGGCATACTGTCCTGGCCTGGCCGACGCTCTTGCATGCCAGCGCCTGCGGATGCGCACCTCCCGCTTCAGCGGGGGCAGCGTTTAGTGGCGCGCACCAATTATTCAATCGCTTCGCTCGCGCTTGCCAGCGCGTTCGTGGCCCATGTGGCGCTGCTTGGCGGTGGTTTTTTTTTTCTGGAGGCGTGGCGACAGCAGGCATGGAGGCGAAGTAGTTGGTTTGGTGCGCACCAATTATTGACCCAGGATGGGCCTGGCCAGGGTCGCTATATATGTATAGTCGACGCCCTCCTAGGTTCAGGGCTCCTTCCCGGGGCCCCCGACCTTGCACAGGCCCGCGGTTTCTCCCGACACGCCGACCACGGAATCCCCAATGCCTTGCAGAAGTAAGGCGACGTGTCTTCCTGCGCCCATCTGCACCGCGGAGCGGGGTGGGGGCGTCGAGCACTGGTCCGACCTCTCCAGGTTGTGTGGTCCTCCGCCTTGTTGCCACGCTCATCTCCCTTAAGTATAATCGTCATCATCCTCATCGTCGTCGTCGCCCTTCCTCGGGCAACCTCATCGTAATGATCATCTTCATGATCATCAGCAGTATCAGCAGCATCATCCTCCTCGTCACCATCGTCATTAGCATCATCATCGTCATCATCGTCATCATCATCATCATCATCATCATCATCATCATCATCATCATCATCATCATCATCATCATCGTCGTCGTCGTCGCCGTCGTCGTCGTCGTCGTCGTCGTCGTCGTCGTCGACATCATCCTCATCACAGTCAGCAGCATCATCGGCATCCTGGTCCTCGTCGTCATCACCGTCCACAATCTCCGCATCACTCAATGGCAGCAGCCCCCCCCACCCGAAGGTTTGGGATCTGCGGGGCAAGCCGCACGCCCCGAGCCGGATGGCGCCGGTCAACAGCGCAGAGGGCGACGGCTTGGACTCGGAGGCACCGCGCGTGCGAAGCGACCCCGACCCCTCACGGAGGGCACCAAGCTTGCACCTGCACCGGTCCTGGCCAGGCCGAGCTCGGGCCCAGGATCGGAGTATACGAGTTCCTGCCCGAGCCAGGAGGGCGTAGGCACCGATCCCGGGCCCTGCACGGGCCTGGGCCTGGCCCGGAGCGGTGTAGATGCTGGTTGACCCGAGAGGGGTGTCCAGTGACAAGGGGGTGGTGCAATAGCTCTGGCGCAATAGATTTGTGGGGTTGCAACAGATTTGGGATTTGGGGCGTGCAATACATTCCGGAGCGCACATGTGTTGCTGGATTCTCGCGTGCATTACATTAGTTGCAACACAGTGCAGTACAATTCTCAAGCGCAATACATTTGCAGTACAACTGCCGCATATCTGTTGCACCACCCCCTTTCAGCTGGACCCCCTATTGGGCCAACCAGGTAGATTCGTAGTTGGCGTCCTCCTACCCTCTGCCCGACCGTGCCTCGAAGAGGGCCACGCTGCACAAGCATACATCTCCGGAGGTCCGCGCGGACTTCTTGGATCGGCGCTGGACTTTCCCTGGGCGCACGTAGTGCGCCAGGGGCGGCGCCGGCAGCGCCGCGAGGGGGGCCCAGCGCCGACCCGAGAAGTCCGCGCTCGTCTGTGAGGGCTCCCCGGGGCTGGACTTACAAACGGTGTCTGTGGTGGTCTCGTGGGCCGTCTTCACTCGACTGCGCTTTGCGCGAGAGGCGGACTCGAGGCAAGAGCGAGGGAAAGCGAACAAAAAAACGAGCACGACGAACACCCTTTAGGCTCTGCCCCGAGGGTTCCCCCAGGAGCCTGCCCTGAGAGACTGGTGGGTGCGCGGCCGGATCCGGGGAGCCGGATCCGGCGGCGCTGCCTCCCGTGGCCGCCTGTGGCCTCCCGTGGCCGTGCCTGTCCGCATGCGTAGCCCTGCTCCTCCCGGAGGAGGAGGAGGAGGAGGAGGAGGAGGAGGAGGAGGAGGAGGACGGCGAAGAGCAGGAGGAGGAGGAGGAGGAGGAGGAGAGGAGGAGGAGGAGGAGGAGGAGGAGAAGAAGGGGGAGGGGGAGAAGGAGGAGGAGAAGGAGAAGGAGGACGGCGAAGAGCAGGAGGAGGAGGAGGGGGAGAAGGAGGAGGAGGAGGAGGAGGAGGAGGGGGAGGAGGAGGAGGAGGAGGAGGAGAAGAAGGGGGAGGGGGAGAAGGAGGAGGAGAAGGAGAAGGAGGACGGCGAAGAGCAGGAGGAGGGGCACGCACACGTAATAGAAGCATGCGTGAGTGATGTCGCTCGATCACGGGCGAGACCTTCGATGCCGCAGATCCAGATCCGGGACAGACCTCCTGCCCTGACACGTCGATTCGCGAGTTGGCCGCTCTCGGTTCGCGAGAGGGCGTCGCGGCCGTCATTTTGGCGGGTCCGGGTCCGTTGGTTTCGATCCCGGGCCGCGTTCACTAACTAAAGGGTGGTTTTCGAAAGGGAGGTTTGGCGGTGGTTCCAGACATCCTGATTCTATATCCATATCCCCATCCCTACCCCTATATCTATCTCTCTATATCGGAGGCGAGGGGGTAAGGTCGCAGAGAAACTGAGAGCCCCTCACGGGGAAACCAGCTTCGGTTTTGTGTTCGTGTCATTCGTGCGGGCGGGCGACGCTGCGTAGGGGGGCGAGAGGAAGGAACCCGCTGACTAGCGCGCCGCTGGGCCAAAAGACCCCCCCCTGGTTTGGCCAGAGGTGGCCAGGGGGGTCCCTCGGGTGTCCCGTTGGTTCCCCGTCGGTGTCCCGTAGTGAGATCGATCGTGAGATCGATAGTGAGATCGTTAGTGGGGCACCGAGAGGGATAATAAGATCGATAGTGAGATCGATCGTGAGATCGATGGTGAGATGGACAGTGAAGCGATAGTGAGAAAGTTCGATTCTGACATCGATCGTGATGTCCCGTCGACTTCCTGTCGGCGTCCCGTCGGTGTCCCGTAGTAAGGTGAATCGTATGGTCGGTGGTGAGATCGATAGTGGGATGGATAGTGAGATTGATCGTGATACGGATCATTCGATCGATAGTGAGATCGGTGGTGAGATCGAGGATAAGTTCGCTGGTGAGATCCATAGTGAGATCCATAGTGAGATCCAAAGTGAGATCCATAGTGAGAGCGGTTGAATGAGTCGTTGGTTCCCCCCTACCCGCTCCGAATCTCCTTATCTCCCGAAGGGTGGTCGTATAAGTAAACATCGGAGGTGAGGGGGTGAGATCGCAATGAAACGGAGAGCCCCCCGCTGGGAAGTCGGTTCCGGTGTCGTGTTCGTGTCGTGTCGTGCGTGCGGGCGAGGCGAGGCTGCGTGGACTGGCGAAAAGAATGAACCCTCCCCGGCTGGCGCGCCGCTGGGCTAAAAGACCCCCCCGGTTTTCCGGCGGTGGTCGGGGGTGTCCCACGGGAGTCCCGTCGGTGTCCCATCGTGAGATCGATAGTGAGTTCGATGGTGAGATCGATGGTGATATCGATAATGAGATCGATCGTGAGACCGATCGTGAGATCGATAATGAGATGGATGAAGAGATCGACAGTGAGATCGATATTGAGATCGGCCGTGAGGTTGATAGTGAGATCGACAGTGAGATCGCATACTGAAATCGATAGTGAGATCGATCGGTTGTGAGGTCAGGAATGAGATCGATTTGAGATCGATGGTGAGATGGATAGTGAGGTCTATCGTGAGATCGATCGTGATGTCGATAGCGAGAGGGATCGCGAGAGCGATGGTGAGATCATTTGCGAGATCGATAGTGGGATCGATCGTGAGATCGTGTGAGATCGGTAGTGAGATCGATAGTGATGTCCCGTCGGTGTCTCGTCGATGTCCCGTGGTGAGATCGATAGTGCGATCGGTATTGAGTGAGATCATGATACCGATAGGGGCACCGATAGTGAATCTGAAAGTGAGAACGCTGGTGAGATCGGTATTTGCATCTAGTGAGACCGACCAGAAGATTGATAGTGAGATCAATGTTGAGATCCATAGTGAGGTCGATGGTGAGATCGATTGAGCGAGACGTTGGTTCCTCCAGCCCCCCGAGCCTCCTCATCGCCTGAAGGGTGGGCATATAGGCACATCCCTAATCTTTAGAGCCCTAGCCATAAATCCGCACCCATATCCCGATTTTGCCTACATCGCGGCTGCCATCGTAACTGTGTAAAGTTGCTTAGGGCATTCTGCCGCAAGCGGGTCATTTATGTGTATGCAACATGGTATTCGTGCAGTCTCCCCATTCCATCTCTCTTTCCACATGCTCCTTTGCCCTTCCTCCTCCTCCTCCTCCTGCTTCTCCCCCTTTCCTTTGCTGCTGCCGTTCTGGCCTTGGGGCTGGTGGAAAAGGGGATTCCCCCTAAGTGGGCGAAGCGCAGACGACGTGGATGGAAGATCAGAGTATGCCTCCCGCGCCATAGAGGATCAGACGTTTTCTGAGATGGCCGTCGCTTTTGCAATCGCCGTCCGGTTTCACCTTGGCCGCTCTCGTCGTGCCGTCGTCGTCGTCGTCGTCGTCGTCGTCGTCGTCGTCGTCGTCGTCGTCATCATCGTCGTCGTCGTCGTCATCGTCGTCGCTGCCGTCTTCAGCGGCCCCATTTTCTCCCTCATCGTCCTCCTCTCGCTCCTCCTTCTCCTCTTCCTCCTCTCCTCCTCTTCCCGCGACGGCGGCGGCGACGACTACGGCACCAGCGGCGGCGGCGACGACGCACCATCGCGGAGGAGGCCCACTTCGAGGGCGCGATTTGGATGGCGCCCGTCTTCTCCACGGACCAGCTTGCCTTCAAGGACGAGCTAGGGGGCGACTTCCACGCCGACATGGCGGGCGGGGTGCACTTCGTGGAGATCTGCTGCGTCAGGCACCGGGACGGCGGCGCAATCTTCTGAATCCTCTTCCCTGTCCCTCCTCCTGCCCCTCTCCTCGCCTCCTTCCTCCGGTCTCTCGCCTGCCTCCTCCCAGCCTGTTCCTTCTCGTGCGCGTGCTGGATGCGTCATCAACTCAACTCCTGACGTGTGCATCTTGCCGTTGCGATGCCGTGCTCTCGCCAGTGTGGGCTTCGAGGGCGGAGCGATTGAACTAGTCGGGAGGATCTGCGCTCGCAGGGCGCTCCCAGGGCCCCCGCTGCAGAGAGGCAGGTCCCCGCCAGGGGGCGCCAGCTGGCGAGGCTCGGCGCCCGGGTGCGGGCGGCCCTCCGTGGCAGGCTCGTCTGCGTGCGCTCCGCAGGAACCGCTGGCGCCGATCCGCCACTTCGGCTAACCCGACGCGGGGCACTCTGGAGTCGGCGCGCATGCTTCGAGGCCTGTCAGTGGAGCGGCGCTCCGCGAATACGACGCGATGCATTCCAGCACTTGGGGCCCGGGCCTTGGAAAGATCCCGCGGGAGTGGGGACTGAAGCGTGGGGGACGAGGCAAAGGACTTGAGGACACGCCCACTCCGTGCCCAGAGGCACGGTCGCGGATTTGTGGCCTGACGATCGGTCTGGTGGCTATGATGTCGCTGTCGCCGCTTCGTCGCCTCCCGTGGTCTTGGCGTGACGGCCAGTCTGGCGGCTATGTTGTCGTCGTCGCCGCCTCGTCGTCGCCGCCCGTCGTCTGGGCCTGACCGTCGGTCTGACGACTATGTAGTCGCCGTCGCCGCCTCGTCGCCGCCCGTTGTCTGGGCCTGCGTTGCTTCGTCTTGATTTGCATTGTTTTCCGTGCGTTGCATTGCATGTCATTGCATTGCTATAAACCGCGTAGGTTGCACCACATTAGTTGCACCAGGCATATTGCACAATACAGGTTGGCATCGCATATATTGCATCACGCAGATTGCACCAAGTAGATTGCACAGCATATATTGCACAACATAGATTTTACCACGTTGATTACACGATATATGTGTTGCACAACATCGTCGGCACCACACGCGTTGCTAGAAACACCCCATTATGGGTCCCACGATGGCTACAATGTCTTGTAACACGAATGCTGCTACTACTGTCTCTTCCCACTTTTCCGCGAATTATATGACCGAACGTTGGCTTCTACCACCTGTCTTCCTTCTCCGACTGCTACTATTACTATTACTCCGGCTACTGTTACGATTACTGCTCCTACTACCTACCCTTACTACTACTACTACTACTACTACTACTACTACTACTACTATTACAACTACTACTACTACTACTACTACTACTACTACTACTACGACTACTACGACTACTACGACTACTACTACTACTACTACTACTACTACTATTACTACTACTACTACTACTACAACAACTACTACTACTACCACTACTACTACTACTACTACTACTACTACTACTGCTACTGCTACTACTACTACTACTACTACTACTACGACGACGACGACGACGACGACGATGACGACGACGACGACGACTACTACAATTACTACTACTACTACTACTACTACTACTATTACTACTACGACTACTTCTTCTTATTCTTCTTCTACTACTACTACTACTACTATTACCTACTCCTACTACTACTGCTACTACTACTGCTACGATTACTACCACGGTCCCATATCCACTATTACCACCACCACCACTACCACAACTACTACTATGCTTATTATACTACCGTTTTTTGTATGAGTAGTATGACGATTATCATCACTACAACTTCGACGGCTAGTTCTAGTTCTTGTACATTTACTGTTGTTATTATTACTATCACTGCTTCTTCTTGCTATTACGACTACTGTTAATACTGCTGTCACTAGTATTATTATTACTACTACTATGACCACGACTGATATGTCTACCCTTTCTGTTCTGATTGCGATGACTACTACTAATAAGAATAACAATGCTACGACTATAACTACAACAACACATACTACGACTACTGTTGCCACTACTGCTACGACTCCCATTACTATTGTGATTACTACTAGTCCTGCTATCACGATGACCACTACTACCGCCACTACGACGACGACTAGGGCTACTACGAATAGCTCTACGATTACGACTACTACTATTACTGCTAGTACGACTAATATTCTAATTGTGTTCCCGTTACTATTATGCTTTTTTCTTAGTATCACTACGGCTACTGCGACGATTGCTACTACTATTATTGCTACTACTTCGGTTACTACGACTTCTATGATTACTATTACTACTTCTATTTTTGTTTCTACCACTACTGAGACTACTAGTAATACTACCACTACCACCACAGGTATGACTGTTAGTACTACTGCTGGTACTCTACTACGACCACTATTTCTACTACTAGTAGTACTACTACGACTACTACTACTTCTAGCATTACGATTATTATTTCTACGGCTATTACTGCTACTACTACTACTACGGCGAAGTTCACTACGACCACAGTACCACCATCATGATTGGTATTGCAACGGCGACTTCTACTACCATTGCTTCTACTTCTGCCACTACTACGATCACGAGGACTACTAGCGCTACTCGGGTTCAGCGTCAGCTCACGCGGTAGAGTGTAAAGTGAGTAAAGGTTCGATTTCGGGTTCGGTTGAAGATCGCCGTATGATCATCCTTGCTTCCTATTGATCCCCATCGATTCCCGTTGACGCCTATCGATTGTCATTGGTTCCTGTTGCTCCCGACTGGCTCGTACTTCTCTGTTGCTCCCTATTGGTTCCTCGTGATTCTCAGTGATTCCATCTACTCCCGTTCGGTTCTCGATTGCCCCCGGTGAATATAACTGGCTCTCGCTGATCCTGACTGATACGCACTGCTTTCCATTGGTTCCAACTGATCCCTGTTTGTTTCTATTGTTTCATATTGGTTCTTTTTGATCCCTGTTGCCCCCCGGTGTTTCTCATTGTTTCCCACGAGTCTCCACTGATTCCCAGTGGTCTGGATGAGTCCGGTTGATGTTTAATGGTTCCAGATGGCCCCGAGTGGTCCCTAGCAGTTCTTAGGCAATCGATTGATTCTCCTTGGTTCATATTATGTTTAGTGGTTCTCAGTTGTTCCAGTTGATCCCGATTTGTCTCTGATGTTCCCCATTGGTTTGTATTATTTTCCATTGCTTCCGATCCATTCCCATTGATACCTATCG